GTGGGCATGTTGTGTAAATCAAAAGATACAAACCCCCAAAAAATCAATTTTAATTCCAGGTTGTAATGCAACAAAATAGGAAAAATGCCAAGGGGGGTGAATACTTTTGCAAGCCACTGTAGTACGACCTAAGCAGTGTCAGATGAAGATCTGTGAGTTATGCTGGTGTAAGAGGAGATGGATCATCTCTGGAATGCTTTAGAGCTGCTGTGATGTGTCGTTTTTCAGTGGCATATATTGTAAGACGCAGCTGGACATATTTGTTTTAGACCCTAGAACGAATCTCGGAACCGAACAGTCTGTCACAAACAAGAGATTTCCCTAAAAAAGACAATATCTCAGGAGTCTTGTTGCTAGAAAATCTGATAATTCAATTTGAAGTCAGTGAAATAAAGACTTACAAATCCCAAACTATTTTTACTTGTCATTTTGATCAATCTAGAGGAATCTTAAATAATAGCTCTATCATGTGTTAAGTACTCTCTGATTCAGACTCACACAGCCTACAGCCTACCAGCTACAAGTTCGGGAAACCCTGTACTAGAGAATACTGTCATTCACAGACACATTTGATATCTTAATATCATTCTGACAGCTCTCAATCTCCTGAGCATGATGGAGACCTCAGTCATGACCATAGACATACATATTTACATTGTTGGCCATTACCACCACATCCATATTGAGCAGGTGTCTCCAGACCTCCATAAACAGGGAGACCTAGCAGGTGACAGGGTTCCCAGGAGGACCAACCACACGCCTTTCTGTCATCCATCCAGTCAGGTACTGAGAGGAGGGAAGAGGACACAGGTAGAAGAATATGGGCCAGATTTACTAAGCTTTCCCCTATGTTTGCACCTATTTTCAAAAGGGAATTTAACAGGTGTTTTGTCCCCAATTGGTGCAAATGCTAAGGAAATCTGGCCTTTGTATCTCTTTGTGTCTGATCAGCCAACATCTTCTGTGCAGTGACCCTGCGGTCCTCAAAAGTCTGCCACAGTCTACAATGTCCCAGCATGCACAGGGAGATGCCACCTCCCATGAGGTTCTCCGATTGCAGCCATCTGCCACCGTAATGTATGGACTATATATCACTGCTAATCATCAGGTCACCACACCTTTGAGTCACTTAGGCTACCATCAAAAGTCTTACCACCCTCTCAAAGCCTCCAACTATATATTGTCCATATTTGGGAGATTGGCTCTCAGTAGTATTTAATTTTGGTCTAGAAATATCTTGGTTCAGTAATGACCGAGGGCACTTAGTTATTGTCTATTTGTATAGATGAGTAGTTACTTGTCATAGGTGACTTACATGTTGTAAAACGCAAAGGAATAATGCATATACAATCCTTTTTGAACACTCACACAAAACGGGACACACTCTTTTCATGCCACATCGATACAGCTATGACACGAAGTGATTTTCGTGGCAGGTTAGGAGAGCATTTTTTTGCTAACCCTAACACTAACCCTTTTCCTAACCTTAACCTAATTGTCCTATAACCTGCTACAAAAAAGCCATTTCCGGTTGTAGCTGTATCGAAGTGGCATGAAAAGGGTGTTTGAATTTATCTTGGACCCATAGAGATAGATAAAGGACTCTTCATGGATATAACTAGTTTTAGCATTGACATTGCCATTGCTATTGGACATTGCCATCACCCACCATTTTAAAGTAGTCAATTGTGTGGGGATTGCTATGGGTTGTCGCCTCAATGGCGCTGCTCATGCTGTCACAGATGTTATAATGGCACATATATGAAGATGAGTCCTCTATCTATCTCTATGGCTGGACCTTGCATATAAGGGGCACACTCTTTTCACGGCACTTGGATACAGCTACTACTGGAAGTGATTTTCCTAACAGTTTAGGTGAGTATTTTAGCTAACCCTAAACCCTAACACTTTTCCTAGCCTTAACCTAATTCTCCTAACCTGCTACATTCATTCTCCTAACCTTATGCCTAAATTATCCTAACCTCCTATGAAAAAGTCACTTCCGGTCTTCTTCTTTTAGGGTACCTGTTATTCTCCTCTTGTGCTTGAGGCGCCATCATCTGTCAGACTTGGGCAGTGCGTCCTTATTCAAATAAAAAATTATGCCTCTGAGGCCAACATTAATATTGATAGAATCCAACAATGAACACATTTGATCAGAAGTTTTGGAAATGTACAAGTCAGATTTGACTCACTTTATTAAATGGGACCACAAAGAACAATTGATCGCTGGCTGCAATCTTACTGCTGTACTATAGGTAAACTGGAGCACCAATGTTGGATACTGTGACGTATTTCAAAAATCCTCGTCACCATGATAAACTGGTTCTTCGATTATAGTCACTGCATCAATGTTGAAAATACAGAATCTGCCTATCAAATGCAGAAAGGCCATAGTAGCCTACATATATAACCAAACCAAAAGAAAATCTCCTAAAACCTGAGGCAAATAAAAGATACAGGGTTGATTTGGGAGTTACCTGAGAATCTGTCATATATTTATTATGGCACTTGCTTGGGACAAATATCAAAAAATGTCTAGCCATACAGTAGCAAGGCATTGAGTGTTGGCCTGAAGGGAGTGTGGAGGGTAAGAATGGTCTGCAAATAAAAGTCTGCGCTTTCAGCATGAGTGAAATATATCAGCAAATATCAAGCTTATATGTTTGCAAAGTAGATGTCTAGTCTGGATTTCCATATCATTTGTGTACTGGCCTCCTGTAGCTCAGTTGGTAGAGCATGGTGCTTGCAACGCCAGGGTTGTGGGTTCGATTCCCACGGGGGGGCAGTATGAAAGATGTATGCACTCCCTAACTGTAAATCGCTCTGGATAAGCGCGTCTGCTAAATGACTAAAATGTAGAGAACAGGGGATAAGACACAATACAGGTCTACATCAAGAGTGCATATCCTCACTTTTCAGATCAGTAGCGATGAGGAGAGGAATGAGATACACCCCAAATTAAGTTTCGTTTCAACTGAAACGCGCCGAATTGAGGGAAAGGTTAATCTTGTCCAGAAGAGAGGGACAGCTAAAGCACACCCCTGCATTCTGTTTTTTTCAGTTATCACATACTCGTTTAAAATACCTATTTCAACTAAGTCTTTGGAAATCTTTAATATTTCTATACTAGTGTTCAATTTAATTGGTTTGCAACGATTTGCTATTGTTTTACACTATAATTCAGCGAAGTCAGATGCTTGTCAAATTGCCAACAGACCGCCTCCCCATTTTCCGCATTCTTATGTCTCTTCTCCTTTCGACATAATCGAACCCTTTCCACACCGACCATCGTTTCTGTTTACCACTGAGACTGGAAAACTATTTAATGTTGCTGTCAGGAAAGCTATAATAATGAAAGGTAAGTTTGCAGTTTTACATAACGTTATAGGCAACATAGACAACGTTTTACATTATAAAATATGTTCAGTCTGATGTATCGAATATCTCTCGCAGTTAGGCTATACATTATCCGGATATTACATACATTTATATAGTTAATGACATTAAAACGCCTATTTGAACCGATTTTCGTGCATTATGAAAATCAATGACATGATACAGATTAAAGTTGAGAACCATAACATATTATGCCTAAACTATAAGAAAAGTGGTGACCTACACTAGTTTTTTAATAATTAATGCCTCAACCCTCTTTAATTCGTGTTGCAGCCAAGATGCAGTCCTGCCACACTTGCTTTAAAGCTGAGAAATGGGTCTGGAGAAATGTAACCACTCTCAAATTGATCGATAGAGCTGGTATGGATGTAAGGATGGACAGTCCATGAGATCAACATGTTTAAACATATTTGAACTAAAAGGCAGTTTGTTTTACGTGGGCTTACGTTATATTTCTTAAGAATCCTTTTGCACAACGTAGCAACGCCTGCTTCCTCTCGCGATCGCGTCCTGTCAGCCTGATTGTAGCCATACTAGCCTCGAAGTCGCTCGTTTTATCATTACCTCAGTATATTAATATTGTAGCGACCCGCACAGACAGCTGTGTGTTATGTGTTAGGCTAGTAGATGGTTGTGTTGTACCTACCAGTACCCAGTGTTCGCGGGGTCCGACATGTCAATCAACCTGCTATCTGCCAATCACGGGAATGCCTGGAATGTTCTGATGCCGGGCATCCTGGCGGTTGGCGGAGTGGCGTGGAGGGGGGTTGGGCAGGGGGATGGAGCATTGGAAGTTAAGACCAGGTTTAGCCTTTGTTCTCTCTCTCTTTACGTCTGGGCTTGACAAGAGAAGGTGACGATTGGCTTGTGGGTTATCTTTCATTTATTTGGCGTGGGCTACGGCCAAACAGTAGCCTGTGTAAAGTTGGTTTAATAAACCGTCCATTCGTAAACTCAATCCTCTGTCTGGACAGTTGTTCTTTTATGATCTAGTCAGGTCATCACAATATAATCAAATTTCTATAGCGTTTTTTTATCATTCTTGTTGAAAATTGTGTTTATCCGTTCAGTTAGTGATTTTTGTAATTCTATTCTTGTGTTCTGTGTCTTTTTTTTGTCTCTTTAGCTTGCAAACATTAGTGCTAATGTTAACGTTATTAGTTCTTCATTGAAAGTTAGGAAATGAAGAAGAGCAACATCAACATCTGGGCTGTGGCTTGCCTTCTCACAAACTACCAGTGTGGGCCTCTTGTGAAGGCATGGGCCAAGGAGCAATGAGCTACTACTCCAATGCATCTTTCCTTTTTATGCTGTGACCATCCACATTGTCTAACACCCCGTAGTCCATTTATTGATAATAAACACCACTGCTTATACTCCAAACACAAAGGTTTTATTTACAGTGACAAGAGAACAGAAAAAATGTAACTGAATTATTTTAAATAATTTATTAATTAATGAATTGCACAGACAGATTTGTTGGTTTGTTTCTCTTTCATTAATTGAAAGATAAAGGAGCCTGTCCGTAGTTATTTAGTCTTTCTTGCCTAGGAACCTTTGCATGTACACATATAAGTAGTACCAATCACCCTTCTCTCTAATTAGTGAGAACACCACTGGGTCTCTATGTATTCTCTCGACCAGAATGTCCTCATGTGCACAGACAACAAAGTCACACCACTCCAACCCAGTGATGTAGAGCTGACCTTGAACTTATGGGGAACTATGTGTCCCGTTGTGTGTGGAGGCTGCTGGTCAGACAGGAGGCTCCCCACCTGTACCTTTCCAAAGTGGGAGTCGACTAAAAGCTTTTCAGCAGACATCCCCATGCTGCAGATTAATGGCTTGGATAGAGGGTTAAAGTTCTTGTATGCCTCTTCTATCTGGAGAACTAAGAGGTCAGGGAGCGGTCCATGAAGGGGGCTGTAGAGTGTACTTCTGCAAAGCAAAGCAGCCGCTGTGGTTAGCCAATCTAAACAATGTACTTGAAACCACCTGAAATGTTATATAGTCAAAGTGTAATAGGACATGACCAGCTACTACCTACTATACTGTCTATTAGGGAATACTCACCCAATCCCTCCTTCTGCCATGCGCTTTTTGGTGGGCTTGGTGATGGTCATTTTGCCTATGGGCCCATGTTTCAGACCCTGTAAAAAGACAGTACAAGGGCACTATTCTAAATCTAATCATGAGACGATTTAAGTTTTCATTAAATCATTTCTTAGCATTATGATGTGATTATAACCATATGATGTTGATATGTGGTATAGCTATTAAAACATACCATAGTCCTTGGCTTATGCCACTGCTGCTCAGCCTCTGTGCAGCTGTGCACAGGTGGGACGACTGGTGTTCCCATCTGGGAATAGTGTGCAGACTGGAATAGTAATGCAACTGTGTGGTTGTATAATGCAGTGCCAGCAACACATGAACAGTGATGTTGTGTCATTGTTACTGGCTCAGAGGGCTTCAGGACAACCTACGTGGGTATATAAAAATAAAATGATTAGACTATAAAATAACTCAACATATGTCACGACCAGCAAACAGAAGTGACTGGCACAACATGCAACAGCCACTAAATTCATTACAGCAATATGGGTTTAAACTTTTCTATTAAGGGTATATGGCCTTGTTTAAATTTAATCTAACGCGTCCAACATAACAGAGTTTACAGAAACAGCAAAGAAGATGACTTTTTTATTTATTTATTTTATTTCACCTTTATTTAACCAGGTAAGCCAGTTGAGAACAAGTTCTCATTTACAACTGCGACCTGGCCAAGATAAAGCAAAGCAGTGCGATTAAAAACAACAACAACACAGAGTTACATATGGGATAAAACAAAACGTACAGTCAATAACACAATATAAAATCTATATACAGTGTGTGCAAATGTAGTAAGTTATGGAGGTAAGGCAATAAATAGGCCATAGTGCAAAATAATTACAATTTAGTATTAACACTGGAGTGATAGATGTGCAGAAGATGATGTGCAAATAGAGATACTGGGGTGCAAATGAGCAAAATAAATAACAATGTAAATAACAATATGGGGATGAGGTAGTTGGGTGGGCTAATTACAGATGGGCTGTGTACAGGTGCAGTGATCGGTAAGCTGCTCTGACAACTGATGCTTAAAGTTAGTGAGGGAGATAAGTGTCTCCAGCTTCAGAGATTTTTGCAGTTCGTTCCAGTCATTTGCAGCAGAGAACTGGAAGGAATGGCAGCCAAAGGAGGTGTTGGCTTTGGGGATGACCAGTGAGATATACCTTCTGGAACGCATACTACGGGTGGGTGTTGCTATGGTGACCAATGATCTAAGATAAGGCAGGGATTTGCCTAGAAGTGATTTATAGATGACCTGGAGCCAGTGGGTTTGGCGACGAATATGTAGTGAGGGCCAGCCAACGAGAGCGTACAGGTTACAATGGTGGGTAGTATATGGGGCTTTGGTGACAAAACGGATGGCACTGTGATAGACTACATCCAATTTGCTGAGTAGAGTGTTGGAAGCTATTTTGTAAATGACATCGCCGAAGTCAAGGATCGGTAGGATAGTCAGTTTTACGAGTGCATGTTTAGCAGCATGAGTGAAGGAGGCTTTGTTGTGAAATAGGAAGCCGATTCTATATTTAACTTTGGATTGGAGATGCTTAATGTGAGTCTGGAAGGAGAGTTTACGGTCTAACCAGACACCTAGGTATTTGTAGTTGTCCACATATTCTAAGTCAGACCCGCCGAGAGTAGTGATTCTAGTCGGGCGGGCGGGTGCAAGCAGCGTTCGATTGAAGAGCATGCATTTAGTTTTACTAGCGTTTAAGAGCCGTTGGAGGCCACGGAAGGAGTGTTGTATGGCATTGAAGCTCGTTTGGAGGTTTGTTAACACAGTGTCCAATGAAGGGCCAGATGTATACAAAATGGTGTCGTCTGCGTAGAGGTGGATCTGAGAGTCACCAGCAGCAAGAGCGACATCATTGATATACACAGAGAATAGAGTCGGCCCGAGAATTGAACCCTGTGGCACCCCCATAGAGACTGCTAGAGGTCCAGACAACAGGCCTTCCGATCTGACACATTGACCTGCCAATAAGAATGGATCATTGGCAAGTTGCAGCGGAGAGTGCAGAGCTGGTGGCCGGGGTAGGGGTAGCCAGGTGGAAAGCATGGCCAGCCGTAGCAAAATGCTTATTGAAATTCTCGATTATCGTAGATTTATCGGTGGTGACAGTGTTTCCTAGCCTCAGTGCAGTGGGTAGCTGGGAGGAGGTGCTCTTATTCTCCATGGACTTTACAGTGTCCCAAAACTTTTTGGAGTTAGTGCTACAGGATGCAAATTTCTGTTTGAAAAAGCTAGCCTTTGCTTTCCTAACTGATTGTGTATATTGGTTCCTGACTTTCCTGAAAAGTTGCATATCGCGGGGGCTGTTCGATGCTAATGCAGTACGCCACAGGATGTTTTTATGTTGGTCAAGGGCAGTCAAGTCTGGGGTGAACCAGGGGCTATATCTGTTCTTAGTTCTGAATTTTTTGAATGGTGCATGCTTATTTAAGATGGAGAGGAAAGCACTTTTGAAGAACATCCAGGCATCCTCTACTGACGGTATGAGGTCAATATCCATCCAGGATACCCGGGCCAGGTCAATTAGAAAGGCCTGCTCGCTGAAGTGTTTTAGGGAGTGTTTGACAGTGATGAGGGGTGGTCGTTTGACCGCGGACCCATTATGGACGCAGGCAATGAGGCAGTGATCGCTGAGATCCTGGTTGAAGACAGCGGAGGTGTATTTAGAGGGTAAATTAGTCAGGATGATATCTATGAGGGTGCCCATGTTTACGGATTTAGGGTTGTACCTGGTAGGTTCCTTGATAATTTGTGTGAGATTGAGGGCATCAAGTTTAGATTGTAGGACGGCCAGGGTGTTAAACATATCCCAGTTTAGGTCACCAAGCAGTACAATCTCTGAGGATAGATGAGGGGCAAGCAATTCACATATGGTGTCCAGGGCACAACTGGGGGCTGAGGGGGGGCTGTAGCAAGCGGCAACAGTGAGAGACTTATTTCTGGAAAGGTGGATTTTTAGAAGTAGAAGCTCAAACTGTTTGGGCACAGACCTGGATAGTATGATAGAGCTCTGCAGGCTATCTCTACAGTAGATTGCAACTCCGCCCCCTTTGGCAGTTCTATCTAGACAGAAAATGTTGTAGTTCGAAATGGACATTTCTGAATTTTTGGTGGCCTTCCTAAGCCAAGATTCAGACACTGCTAGAACATCAGGGTTGGCAGAGTGGACTTGGAGGTCGGTGCTTTGCTACTTGTCTTGGCCAGATGATGTACATCCGTCACTGTTATCTTTGGCAGCTCTTGCAAGCACCTTGTGTAAAACAGTGCCATGGTTGGTAAGGGAGGGGGGTGTTGGCTATTTGCTAGCCACCTTACTAGTTAGCGCGTTAATAGCTAGTTAGCTAAGAGACACAATAAACAGAAATACAGTGAGGGAAAAAAAGTATTTGATCCCCTGCTGATTTTGTACATTTGCCCACTGACAAAGACATGATCAGTCTATAATTTTAATGGTAGGTTTATTTGAACAGTGAGAGACAGAATAACAACAACAAAATCCAGAAAAACGCATGCAAAAATGTTATAAATACTTTTTTCCCTCACTGTATGATAGAAATATGATTATATTAATATACTGATTACCTCAGTATATTAATGATAAAACAAGCGACTTCGAGGCTAGTATGGCTACATTCAGGAGAGGAAGGGCGGCAGGTAGCGTAGTGGTTAAGAGCATAGTGCCAGTAACCGAAAGGTCGCTGGTTCTAATCCCCGAGCCGACTAGGTGAAAAATCTGTTGATGTGCCCTTGAGCAAGGCACTTAACCCTAATTGCTCCTGTAAGTCGCTCTGGATAAGAGCGTCTGCTAAATGACTAAAAAAAAAAGGAAGCTATGTATCAGGTAGGAAGTTGAGTGGAAGTGGGCGTTGCTAAGTTGTGCAAAAGGTCTATTAATCTTAATTGAAATGACTACTGAACAGCAGTAAAGATTGTATTTCTGTTACCTGGTATTTACTTGGTACTTAGAAATGACATGGTAAAAGTAATGCATTTTTTAAATCAGATATACATTTGCGGTTTTGTCTGTTCTCTCCTGCACCAACCAGATTTTCACAACCACGGCTACATCTTGCCTTATACAGAGTGGCTGCTATAGTAGGCATTCAGAGCCTGAATCCAAACTGAATTGCTTCATTTCACTTTTGTTTCACTTCATGATTTAATATTTTCATTGAAACTGGTTGTGTCTGTAATGAGGGGCATTAAAGCGATTGGATCAGCGAGTGCACCACACCTTGGTTACAATGTTTGTGGTGGTGTCCTTTGACAGTTTCACAATAATATAGTCTTCCTCTCCTGGTTTTATGTTTTACAGCATGTTGCAGCAACACAGCAGCTATTCGGAAATGGTGAAGACGGAAAACAAAGTGGTAAATCACTTTAAAAAAATTTTTTTATTGTATTTCTCTCTGGCTTATTCAATGGGTGACTATATTGCATTTCATGTATGGAATATAATGTTGAACTGTTTTTCAACTTTTCCTTCAGTTTGACTGAGAAACCAGTTCAGTGACAAGGATCCAAAGGATTTCAGTATGGCTGAACAAGGCCAAATGGAGGTATTTAACAAGGAATTAATTTTAAAAAAGAATAACAATATGTGTTATTTCATAGTTTTGATGTCTTCACTATTATTCTACAATGTAGAAAATAGTAAAAAATTAAGAAAAACCCTTGAATGAGTAGGTGTGTCCAACCTTTAACTGGTACCAGTAGAATAATAGTGAAGACATCCAAACTATGAAATAACACATATGGAATCATGTAGTAACCAAAAAAGTCTTAAACAAATCAAAATATATTGTATATTCTTCAAATAGCCACCCTGTGCCTTGATAAATAAAATAATAATAAATAATTATTAAATAATTATTAAATTAAATAATTATTAAATTAAATAACTGTGCCTTGATGACAACTTTGCACACTTTTGCATTCTCTCAAACAGCTTCATGAGGATTTTTTTTTACATTTTTAGTCATTTAGCAGACGCTCTTATCCAGAGCGACTTACAGTTAGTGAATACATTTTTTTTTTTTTATACTGGCCCCCCGTGGGAATCGAACCCACAACCCTGGTGTTGCAAATGCCATGCTCTATTAACTGAGCTACATCCCTGCCGGCCATTCCCTCCCCTACCCTGGACGACGCTGGGCCAATTTTGCGCCGCCCATGAGTCTCCCGGTCGCGGCCGGCTGCAACAGAGCCTGGATTTGAACCAGGATCTCTAGTGGCACATTGTATCTCATTGTGCCTATTCAGTGTTCTTACACGTATACAGTATACAGTATATACTGTATATATTCTTTTTTATTATTATTATCAAAGTAAAATGCTTTTAAGATATCACATTAATAATTAATTTATATAGATAAAAAAACATTGTAATATACAGTACCAGTCAAAAGTTTGGACACACCTACTCTTTCAAGGGTTTTTCTTTATGTTTACTATTTTCTACATTGTAGAATGTAGTGAAGACATCAAAATTATGAAATAACACATATGGAATCATGTAGTAACCAAAAAAGTGCTAAACAAATCAAAATATATTTTAGATTTTAGATTCTTCAAAGTAGCCACCCTTTGCCTTGATGACAGCTTTTCAAACACTTGGCATTCTCTCAACCAGCTTCACCTGGAATGCTTTTCCAACAGTCTTGAAGGAGTTCCCACATATGCTGAGCACTTGTTGGCTGCTTTTCCTTCACTCTGCGGTCCAACTCATCCCAAACCATCTCAAATGGGTTGAGGTCGGGTGATTGTGGAGGCCAGGTCATCTGATGCAGCACCATCACTCTCCTTCTTGGTCAAATAGCCTTTACACAGCCTGGAGGTGTGTTTTGGGTCATTGTCCTGTTGAAAAACAAATGATAGTCCCACTAAGCGCAAACCAGATGGAATGGCGTATTGCTGTAGCCATGCTGGTTAAGTGTGCCTTGAATTCTAAATAAATCACCGACAGTGTCACCAGCAATGCACCCCCATACCATCACACCATCTCCTCCATGCTTCACAGTGGGAACCACACATGTGGAGATCATCCGTTCACCTACTCTGCGTCTCACAAAGACACGGCGGTTGGAACCAAAAATCTCAAATGTTTTACTCATCAGACCAAAAGACAGATTTCCACCAGTCTAATGTCTATTGCTCGTGTGTCTTGGCCCAAGCAAGTCTCTTCTTCTTATTAGTGTCCTTTAGTAGTGGTTTCTTTGCAGCAATTCGACCATGAAGGCCTGATTCACGCAGTCTCCTCTGAACAGTTGATGTTGAGATGTGTCTGTTACTTGAACTCTGTGAAGCATTTATCTGGGCTGCAATTTCTGAGGCTGGTAACTCTAATGAACTTGTCCTCTGCAGCAGAGGTAACTCTGGGTCTTCCTTTCCTGTGGCGGTCCTCATGAGAGCCAGTTTCATCATAGCGCTTGATGGTTTTTGTGACTGTACTTGAAGAAACTTTCAAAGTTCTTGAAATGTTCCGGATTGACTGCCCTTCATGTCTTAAAGCAATGATGGACTATCGTTTCTCTTTCCTTATTTGAGCTGTTCTTTATTATTATTTTTTTTTAAAAATTTAGGGGGTAGATCAGCTTTAATATTGCAGATAGATTGTAACTTCCATCAATGTAATTGTCTGCATCACTTCCAATCCCCCATATGTTTGTTTTTTCTCGCAAATACATATATATATATATATATATATATATATATATATATACACACAGTGGGGAGAACAAGTATTTGATACACTACCGATTTTGCAGGTTTTCCTACTTACAAAGCATGTAGAGGTCTGTCATTTTTATCATAGGTACACTTCAACGGTGAGAGACGGAATCTAAAACTGATCTTGCATGGAGCCCCAGACCGAAGGTGATTGACCGTCATCTTGAACTTCTTCCATTTTCTAATAATTGCGCCAACAGTTGTTGCCTTCTCACCAAGCTGCTTGCCTATTGTCCTGTAGCCCATCCCAGCCTTGTGCAGGTCTACAATTTTATCCCTGATGTCCTTACACAGCTCTCTGGTCTTGGCCATTGTGGGGAGGTTGGAGTCTGTTTGATTGAGTGTGTGGACAGGTGTCTTTTATACAGGTAACGAGTTCAAACAGGTGCAGTTAATACAGGTAATGAGTGGAGAACAGGAGGGCTTCTTAAAGAAAAACTAACAGGTCTGTGAGAGCCGGAATTCTTACTGGTTGGTAGGTGATCAAATACTTATGTCATGCAATAAAATACAAATTAATTACTTAAAAATCATACAATGTGATTTTCTGGATTTTTATTTTAGATTCCGCCTCTCACAGTTGAAGTGTACCTATGATAAAAATTACAGACCTCTACATGCTTTGTAAGTAGGAAAACCTGCAAAATCGGCAGTGTATCAAATACTTGTTCTCCCCACTGTATATACATACAGTTCAAGTCGGAGGTTTACATACACCTTAGCCAAATAGATTTCAACTCAGTTTTTCACAATTCCTGACATTTAATCCTAGTAAAAATTCCCTGTCTTAGGTCAGTTAGGATCACCACTTTATTTTATGAATGTGAAATGTCAGAATAATAGTAGAGAGAATGATTTATTTCAGCTTTTATTTCTTTCATCACATTCCCAGTGGGTCAGAAGTTTACATACACTCAATTAGTATTTGGTAGCATTGCCTTTAAATGGTTTAATTTGGGTGAAACGTTTCGGGTAGCCTTCCACAAGCTTCCCACAATATGTTGGGTGAATTTTGGCCCATTCCTCCTGACAGAGCTGGTGTAACTGAGTCAGGTTTGTAGGCCTCCTTGCTCGCACACGCTTTTTCAGTTCTGCCCACGACTTTTGTATAGAATTGAGTTCAGGGCTTTGTGATGGCCACTCCAATACCTTGACTTTGTTGTCCTTAACCCTCACGTTGTCCTCGGGTCAAAATGACCCGCCACTTTGTAAACAGTGGTCATTTTGACCCGAGGACAACGTGAGGGTTAAGCCATTTTGCCACAACTTTGGAAGTATGCTTGGGGTCATTGTCCATTTGGAAGACCCATTTGCGACCAAGCTTTAACTTCCTGACTGATGTCTTGAGATGTTGCTTCAATATATCCACATCATTTTCCATCCTCATGATGCCATCTATTTTGTGAAGTGCACCAGTCCCTCCTACAGCAAAGCACCCCCACAGCATGATGCTGCCACCCCCGTGCTTCACGGTTGTGATGGTGTTCTTCATCTTGCAAGCGTCACCCTTTTTCCTCCAAACATAACGATGGTCATTATGGCCAAACAGTTCTATTTTTGTTTCATCAGACCAGAGGACATTTCTCCAAAAAGTACGATCTTTGTCCCCATGTGCAGTTTCAAACCATAGTCTGGCTTTTTTATGGCAGTTTTGGAGCAGTGGCTTGCTGAGCAGCCTTTCAGGTTATGTCGATATAGGACTCGTTTTACTGTGGATATAGATACTTGTGTACCTATTTCCTCCAGCATCTTCACAAGGTCCTTTGCTGTTGTTCTGGGATTTATTTGCACTTTTCGTACAAAAGTATGTTCATCTCTAGGAGACAGAACGCGTCTCCTTCCTGAGCGGTATGACGGCTGCGTGGTCCCATGGTGTTTATACTTGCTACTATTGTTTGTACAGATGAACGTGGTACCTTCAGGCATTTGGAAATTGCTCCCAAGGATGAACCAGACTTGTGGAGGTCTACAATTTTTTTTCTTAGGTCTTAACTGATTTCTTTTGATTTTCCCATGATGTCAAGCAAAGAGGCACTGAGTTTGAAGGTAGGTCTTGAAATACATCCACAGGTACACCTCCAATTGACTCAAATGATGTCAATTAGCCTATCAGAAGCTTCTAAAGCCATGACATCATTTTCTGGAATTTTCCAAGCTGTTTAAAGGCACAGTCAACTTAGTGTATGTAAATTTCTGACCCACGGGAATTGTGATACAGTGAATTATAAGTGAAATAATCTGTCTGTAAACAATTGTTGGAAAAATTACTTGTGTCATGCACAAAGTAGATGTCCTAACCGACTTGCAAAACTAGTTTGTTAACAAGAAATTTGTGGAGTGGTTGAAAAACGAGTTTTAATGACTCCAACCTAAGTGTATGTAAACTTCCGACTTCAACTGTACATACACATACATACATATATACATACATATATACACATACATATACATTTCCTTTTTAAAAATATATTTCCCTTTATTACTTTCCAACCCCACCACCCCTTCCCTAATTGGAGTAAACTAGTGAACAACAATGCTTAGGCCTCTACTTCCAGCTTATACATACTATATACATTTTATGGACACAGTCAATTTTACAATAATTATATTTTGTTTGTTTTTATTCCTGAACTTCCTCTACCCTCAACCTCTCCAATCATTTTCATGATGTCCATCCGGTTTGCTTCTATATGCCATATCTTTCTAACTGTGCTCTTTCACAAAAGCTCTCAATTATATAACCTATATACTTATTATGGACACAGTATGCTTACATTATTAGTTATCTTGTTGTTATTAGTTGTTGTTAGTTGTTATTAGTACCATCCTTCAACACCACCCATCTATCTCTTAACACCATCCATATTGGATTTCTATTGTTTTACAAAGGTTCTGAACCTTTCTATTCTCATTGTTTCTACAGATTATAAATATAAAATAAAGTATTATTATATTATTGATCGATTGACTATGACTTTTCAGATCACCCAGTAATGTTATCTGCAGGGCTGTTTGAGCTGTTCTTGCCTTAATATGGTCTTGGTCTTTTACCAAATAGGGCGATCTTCTGTATACCACCCCTACCTTGTCACCACACAACTGACTGGCTGAAACATATTAAGAAGGAAATACATTTCACAAATTAACTTTTAACAAGGCACACCTGTTAATTGAAATGCATTCCAGGTGACTACCTCGTGAAGCTGTTTGAGAGAATGCCAAGAGTATGCAAAGCTGTCATCAAGGCAAAGGGGTGGCTACTTTGAAGAATCTCAATTATAAAATATATTTTGATTTGTTTAACACTTTTTTTGGTTACTACATGATTCCATATGTGTTATTTCATAGTTTTGATGTCTTCACTATTATTCTACAATGTAGAAAATAGTAAAAGTAAAGAAAAACCCTGGAATGAGTAGGTGTGTCCAAACCTTTGACTGTTACTGTATATAAAACGCACTTTGCAATCATCAATTTGTATAATATCCTCAAAATATGCTGCCTTCTCAGAAACACCAGAGACCACATATGTATTATGTGAATCTGATGATTTTCTAAAGATTTTTCATGCTTGCTTTGTGCAGTATACACATCTGTTATGTTTGGCTTGTGGTGATAGCTGAATATGGGCTAAAACACCACCAAATGTTGAGTAAGCCTGCTCAATGGTGAATGATTTTGTTGTTAACATCTATACGGCATATGAATTTCAATCAAATCAGCCTATTTTATTTCAGAATGAAGAGGAAGGCAAACCAACTGACCTGCCAGCTGAGATCAAGGATTGGAATAAACATCACGTGAAACAATGGGCTCTCAACGAGGCTTGTGTGGACAGTGAATCTGCAAATATCTTGCTTCAGCAGAACATTAATGGGCCCAGTCTTTTACTTTTAGAGAAATCTGATTTACTAGAGGTGGGTGTCACACTGGGGCCTGCAAAGTTGATCATTCACAAGAGGGATGAGCTTTTGAAACTTAAGAAAGTGCAGTTGAGTAACCCAACAACAAATCAGTCTGGTAGACCGTGCAAGCCGTACCCTTTTCATCGACACCATGATGCCTGCCGATACAAGGCGAACAGCATTCTTGATGTAACAGAATCAGGTGCATCAGACTATATTGAACCCTGTCATGAATATAAAGGATACATCCATATGTCAGAGGCAGCTGTGGAGAGCAAAATGAACAAGTTCACTGATGAGGTTATTCGATTTGCAGCAGCCTGCATGAATAGTCGCACTAATGGCACCATACATTTTGGAGTTGGCGACAAGCCAGACTTTGTTCATGGACAAGTTTTGGGAGTTAGCGTCCAGGACAAAGAGGCATATGTCAATGCTCTGCCACAAGCCATTGAGGGTCATTTTGAGTATAAACATATCCAGGCAGCCAAGATGTGCATCAAACCACCTCGATTTGTTGAGGTTCTCAATCCCGATATGACATCATCAGAGAAGTATGTGATAGAAGTGGACATCGTGCCAGACTTTGTGATCTGTCAAGAGAACATCTATCATGTTTTCAGCTTGGATACAAGGAAATCAAAGAGGAAGTCCAAAAGCAAAGAAATGGAGAAAGAAGAGAAAAAACTATTCTTCATTTGTGATAGTAGCAGCAGCAGCGATATCCTTGCACTAACCACTTTTGCCAAGACGATGGAAGAATACAATAGATTTGTCTGCAATGTGTCACAGCTATCACAGCTTAGAAAACAAGCGGAGGAAAAGCGCCTTAGTGTGGTTAAGAGTAGTGTCCAGGGCTCCAGACTAAGTGAAATGATAACAGGTGGATCCCAATCCTTAGACAAATCCCACTTCGAGCGGTATGTGATAGTGACCAACAAATCACATTTAGTTCAATTGGACTCCCTGGGATATCTTCTTGAACTGAACCCAACTGCTGTTTTGGACTTTGACCCAGAGTCGACAAAAAATGGATTGATGAAGCACTTTGAAGACCAGAGTACAATAAATGTCCACTTGCCAGTACAATATAAAATCACAGAGGCTGTCGAAGACATTGCTAGCAAGCTAAAACTGACTCGAAACACCAGCTGGATCCTCTGCAATGGGGGTATCGAAGGAGAGGTCCCCTCAGATGTAGATGACTGGTTGATAGAGAAAGGAGCGTCTGTACGAAATGTGATTTCATTCCTGTGCCGGAAAGATGTGCTACCACACAAGAGATTCCTGGTTATTTTCATATTGTTCTCTACTGTGAGTGAGAAAATGGACCCTCTACTTGAGACTTTCAGCACATTCTGGCAGGAGCTCAAAGGAATAGAGCAAATACTTTGCATCTGTGAAAATGAAGAAGCATTCACCTGCTGGAGGGACCTGATTGAAGCCCGCTATGGATTAGACATTAAAGCAAGGTCAATCTATGAGCTCAGTTTTGCTGAGGTTAACGGCACCGTCCTCAGCCTGTGGTCAGACAACCGGAAATCCAGCCGTTTCCTACCCTGTGGAGGAGGAAGCAAAGTGCTGTTCAAAAAGAAAGAGGAGAGCAGCCTGGACACCCTGAATGTTCTGTGTGTAAACCAGTGTGAGGGTGGAAATGAAGACAAGGCCCTTATCCAGGAGAAGTTCTACAAAGGAGGAAAGGTGTCATGGTGGAACTTCTATTTCTCTGAGCAGCCAGGATCCATGCCATTCATCAAACGGGACAAGTTCGACTTCATCATGAACACTGTCCTACCAGCTTTGAGCTCTTTGAGAAAATCTTGTGTGTCCTTCAACCTTTTCCATGTTCCAGGATGTGGTGGAACTACACTAGCCATGCATATATTATGGGCACTGAAAGACAAGTTCCGTTGTGCTGTTCTGAAGGACAGAACTGCTGATCATGCTGTTGTTGCCGAGCAAGTGGTCAAGCTGCTGATGTATGAGACAACAGAGCAGTCGCCCCGGATTCCTGTTTTGCTCATGCTAGATGACTTTGAGGAAATGGATGACGTGTATGATTTGCAGCAGCTCATTGAGAAAAAATGTGTCAAGAGGGACATTGGATCTCGGTCCCCGCTGGTCATTCTACTCAATTGCACGAGGGCTGAGTCTTGGGAGAAGACTGAATCAACTGAAGACACTGTGTACATTGGCAATAACCTCTCTGAAATGGAGCAGTGGCAGTTCGAGAAAAAACTCGAGGAGATTGAGAAGACCTACAAGAATGCAGATACATTCTACGCTTTCATGATCATGAAGAAGAACTTTTCACCCGAGTATATACAGGGTGTGGCTCGCAACACCCTAAAGAGCTTCAACATAAATCACAAACATGGACAACTCATAGCTGTTCTGGTCTTGTTGAATGTCTACTGCAAGGGTGCAACGCTCTCAGTCTCTCTCTGTGAAGAGTTTCTTGGGCTCCAGACCAAGCCACATAGTGGATCCTCCGATGTTAAGGCTAGATTTGGGAAGTTTTCCACTCTAGTGACCTGCTGCACAGAGGAGGCTAAGGTTGTATTCGAGGCAGTGAGAATGATCCACTCAAGCATGGCCGTGCACTGTTTGCAGGAGCTTACAACCAACAGTGTAACCAAAGCTGAGATTACCGATCTACTGCTCACCACAGACAAGCTTTATGAGTGCGTACAGGGCAAAGACAAACTCATGAAGGATGTTCACACCATGTTAGTGAAAAGACATCACTCAGTCAAGGGTGAAGATTCTCAGTTCTCACCTCTCATCCAGGATATTGCAAAGGAGACACCAGGTGTTGAAGAAAATGTGCTATTCAATGCAGCCAAGCGCTTTGAAAAAGATGCCGTCATCTCTCAGCTTCTTGCCAGATACCAATACCTGAAGAAAAGGGATTTCAGGGAGGCGAAGGACTGGGCAAAGAATGCGAAAGATCTTTCCAGGGATAACTCCTACATTTCTGACACATCTGCGCAAGTTATCAAGCATGAGCTAAAGAGTGCCATACAAAGTGACAAAGAAGATCCCATAAAACCTGAAAAGCTGAAAGGCTATCTCAGAATGGCCCAGTCAGCAACAGAGGCCTTCAGGGAAACGCAGGAAATTGCAAAGAAGGAGGCTACTCTGAGAGTACAAAACAAGAGAGACAACAGCCCTTTCAACACTGCAGGGTGCCTTGGAGAAATTCAGGTTGCAGTCATCATTATCGAAATACTGGAAAAAAGTCCAGTGTTTTCTTCAGGCAATGTCCATCATGATTTTCTAAGTGAGGTTCTCTCTGGCAGGATTACAATCCAAGATGTTGCGAGGAACGATTCCAAACATCACAAACATGCCTCGTATTACTGCGTTCTCCATGAATTTGAAGATCTTCTGTACAACCTCAGACATAACATGAAGAAGCACTTTGATTTTCTTGACAGCATTTATGTCAACTTGGGTCCCAGGTTCACCCTGAAAGACAGTCGAGAGGAAAGAACTCGACAGGAGCTCTTCCGGTGCTTTCATCGATACAGTGACCTCTTTTGCAAGATGGATTCCACAGAATTGATGAAAAACAAGAACCTGAGCATCATGCTCCAGATTCACAAGGGAAGGCAATTTTTGGAGATGAGAAAAGCTGATACTCATTCTGGGATTCTAAATTGTCTCTCTAATGGTACCCCAACTGACGTGATGGTAAAGATAGTCCGGCAGTATGCCTTCATTCTGAGTAATACTCCTGAAAGGAGTGTTAGAGATAAGGTCAACCTCATCTATGCCAATGTTGTGCTAAGCTGTGTCAAACCTGAATCTCAACACCTTCGCCCGTATAAGATCCTCATTGATCTTCTTTGCCAAGTTCTTCAAGGTCAAATTCCATATGGTGAAAGTTTGGCATTGCACTTCATTGCTGTAGCTCTGTTGTGGCCACAACATATATTTATGTCACAAACTGTGGAGTCTCAGAAGTTGGGAAGCTATGTGTCACAGATGAGGACATCATTCTGGAACGAGATGAAATCAGTGTTGAATGGAAAGTCGCCTGTTGTCCATTTCTTCTTGGGGAAGAAGCAGGGCTATGACCGTTTTATCCACCTTGGAGAAATCGAGAGGTGTGTAAGCCCACAAGAAAACTTTGCTTCGCTCTGGGAAAATGGCAAAATATGGAAGCACGAGAGGGTCAAGGAGCTCCTTTGCAGGGTGACAGGACGGGTACAAAGAAAATTCATTTTGGCAGATACCAGGAACACAGGCTCAAAGATTGAAGTCATTCCAATGTTCAAAAGCCAGCTTTGTGGAAAATTGGAGGGAGCAAAAGTGTCATTTGTCATTGGTTTCTCAATGAAGGGCCCACTGGCTTATGACATCGATTGAACATCCAGAACAGCCTAATTGATGCAAAGTCAGACACAAATGACCAAATGATCATAAAAAATGTGTCATCTAGAAAATATTCTGAAGAGATTCTATAAAAATCACAAAACTGGTTTACTTTTGAAATGACGTTTTATGGTCTAATTGAGCTGCCATCTGCAGCGTTTATCTTGAATGTGATCTCCGCGAACGCGTTAACATTGCTTTGAAAATATGTGTTGTCTACAAGCGTGATTGGATTGAATCCCGGCCTAAGTCTAAAAAATTGGTTCAACATTCAAACCTACTGTTAACTTGAACTAACACTCACACTTTACTCCCCCCCCCCCCTATTAGCTCTGACTTTGCTGATAGCTACTTTGAGGAAAAATTTACATACTACGACTGTGATATGTGTTTGTCTTACCTAGCTATCTTAAGATGAATGCACTAACTGTAAGTCGCTCTGGATAAGTGAGTCTGCTAAATGTACTGTATACATGATCTAATCTGGGTTTTTGTCACATTGTTGCAATGTAATATCTCTAGCAAAGACTCCAGGATGAATTTCTTTCAAGCACAGAATATTTAGTTTTAAAATTGAGTAAGGAAATATTACTATTTTACCATTTACTATTACTACTACTGTATAGGTGTTCCACTTTTATTTTACTGATGTACTGTTTTACTGTTTTTATTTGGTTTTACCATTGATTTTACCATTTACTGTTAGTACTATATCCATTCCAATTTTGATTTACTGTTTGTACTGTGTTACTGTTTATATTTACTTTTACATTTGGTTTTACCATTTAATATTACTGTTATATGCATTCCAACTTTATTTGACTGTTTTACTGTTTGTTTTTAAAGTGTTATCGAAATCATTATTTGATGTTTATATGTGCAGTGCAGCTATCCACTAAAACATTTTCATTCATGCACTGATGTTTGTAAAAATATTATTTGTTAAAATAACTCCAAAGCACTCAATATCATAACCATGTAGTAAATACTCCAATTATGTTTCCTGAATAAAAATTATATTGACTTATTTGTTCTGTATTAAATGCCAAGATTATGGTGTGTTACAGTAACCATATAATCAGTAAGGTGACCATCACTGCCATAAAAAGGTGTAAAGTTCAAGCATACTAGAACTCTAATAATATATTGATGCAATAACTCAGCTACAATAACATTCAAATAGCTTAATGGTGTGACAGATTCTCCAGACCGAACTTCCACCTGTTAGTCTTACTCTCATATCAACCCTCCTATACTGTATCTTCTATTTGCTTCAGGTTTGGCTGATTTTGGGGTTTGTTCATGTACTATGGCCTTTCTACATTTGATATTACAGATTCTATATATTCAACAATGCAAGAAGACACATTGATGCAGTGACTATAATCAAAGATCCAGCTTATCATGGTGACATGAGGATTTTTCAAATATTTCACAGTATCTAAAATTGGTGTTCCAATTTATCTACAGTACTGCAATAAGGTTACAGCCACTGAGCCACATAATGTTATTTGTAGTGAATGGCTGTCCCACTACATTGAATGAAGTGAGTCAAATCTGACTCTCAAATTTCCCAAACTAGCCTACTGATCAAATGTGTGCATTGATTAATTCTGTCAATAATTTGCAGACATCACGTTGCGGTCATGTTCATTCAGAGCAAAATAATGAGGCGTCCTTCTTTCTTTGAATAAGGAAGCACTGCCCAAGTCTGACACATGATGGCACCTTGAGCAAAATAGAAGATTACTTTATTGTCCAATTAAATGTAAATTAATTCCCCTTCTGCCTTTAGAACCAGGGGTTTTGTGTGCGTGTTCAAAACTGCAGTGGCAGGAAATGTACCTATAACACACCAACAAAATGGCAACACTTCACATTTTCACATGTTTAGTGCTTTGTTCTAGTTTATAGCTCTATATCTTAACAAGCCAATTCCCATGGTGTCCTCTGTACAGGTGTATACAGCCCCGCCTCACCATCTATGTGTGTCAGCAACAAGCAAGGAATCAACCACAGACCAAGCCAATGGGGGACAGGGTAGGTTACATCCCTTGTTACATCCCACAGAATCTCCATTGAACATGCCTCTTAGTCCAGGACTAGGCTGGAAAAAATCTGTCTGTCTGTTTGAAAAATATGTTTTGCTGATGAGGATCTCTTCCGCCCATGTCCACAGTATACCACACTCTCTATCTAGAGGACCTGACACTGGGAGACCTCTCAGAGAAGATACATCTCCTTTACAATATAACTCCCTAGCAGATCGGCCACATCTACGGACAAGGACCTACTGGGATCCACATGCTGGTCTCTGATGTAGTGAGAAAGTCTGGAAGCAGAGTTTGATTGGTTTTTATTTATTTATTAGACCATTTTTTAAAACAAACACAGCAAAAGACATGTAGAGTTCAGATTAAGGATATTCATATGAGGATTTGCTTTAGAACCTCAGATTGGGCTGTTACAGTATGGCCCTCTCCTTGGACCTTCTCTTCCAATGCATTTTGAGGAGGAGGGGAGGAAAGCGGATGCAAGGAATCAAGGAAAATTGGGAAAGAGCCATGGAGAAGTACTAGGGGTTGCGGTCATGGGTAGTGTGTTTCTATCAGTGAGGAGTGCTAGCTAGGGTTTAAGGTCGTCATGTTGTTAGGTTATCTCCTCCAGAGGCCCTGGGTTGGTTGTTTGTCCCCCTGTGCCCTTGGCTGGCTTAGGTCAGTGGGGCCTCAGGCTGGGGCCACGAATCAAACTAAAGGCCCTGTGTAAAAGGCAATTGCATGGAAACTCACTTATTAATGGCTGGTAGGGAACACAGGCCTATTATTTTATCATTTAGCAGACGCTCTTATCCAGAGCGACTTACAGTTAGTGAGTGCATACATTTTTCATACTGGCCCCCCGTGGAAATCAAACCCACAACCCTGGTGTTGCAAGTGCCATGCTCTACCAACTGAGCTACAGGAGGCCTATGGATGCAGATGCGAACTACAACAGGATCAACTCTCACTCAGGCCTGGCTGTTATGGCCATGGCTGTTTCCATGCACTTCATTATGATGTCTAGTTACTGATTGACTGATAGACTGATAGCTCTGGGGCAACATAGCAAGAAGGGCCCTTGAATACATAACACTGGTCATAATACTGTGAAGTAGATGATACTACCAGCATCAACCGAAACCCAGACCGAAACCCATCTGTCGAAACGTTGGTTAATTCATTAATAAATAAATTGGATCGGAGCAATAAAATGTGTGGTGACCTTCTTTTTCTTTCTAACTACCAGAATCATACCAATAGAGAGAAAGATACAGTATGTCATTTTTATAACATATAACAAACAAATCTTTCTCAGATGGTGCAGAACTTCACTGAGGAAACAAGCTTTGTTATTAGCACTGAAAGGTAATATATTTCCCTCACTTAAATGCACAGAACCTCATCATGTAGATATGCAATATATTTAAAAAAGTAAAATAATATGTCCTGTTTGCCTTCAATTTGCAGATGAAATTTATGACGGCTACCATGTTGTGTTGAAGTGACTAGAGGAAAGGTCTGGAGTGGAGTGGATGGTTTCAGATCACTGTCCAAGTGTCTGGAACCTATAGGGCTTGTTGAGGAGCATTAGACTTTGTAACATTAAATGGTGCAATTGTACAGTGGGGAAAAAAAGTATTTAGTCAGCCACCAATTGTGCAAGTTCTCCCACTTAAAAAGATGAGAGAAGCCTGTAATTTTCATCATAGGTACACGTCAACTATGACAGACAAAATGAGAAAAACAAATCCAGAAAATCACATTGTAGGATTTTTTATAATAATAATATGCCATTTAGTAGACACTTTTATCCAAAGCGACTTACAGTCGTGCGTGCATACATTTTTGTGTATGGGTGGTCCCGGGGATCGAACCCACTACCTTGGTGTTACAAGCGCCGTGCTCTACCAGCTGAGCTACAGAGGAGGACCTTTATGAATTTATTTGCAAATTATGGTGGAAAATAAGTATTTGGTCAATAACAAAAGTTTCTCAATACTTTGTTATATACCCTTTGTTGGCAATGACACAGGTCAAACGTTTTCTGTTGCTGGTATTTTGGCCATTCCTCAGCAAAATCTCTCTAGA